GGGTATTGGGCTTTCTGGGTCCCAACTGCTTGGGGTTGCCGGACTTTCGGTGTGGAACCCAAGGTTTCCAAATCCGGCACTCGACAGATCCCGCTGAAAAGACCCGAAAGCTCATCGTTGAAGATACTGATTGAACTGCTTTTCTCTCGATTCGGTTTCCTTTTCAAGTTTCGTTTTTCAAGCGAGGATCAAGAGCGTGTTCTTCTAAAGTCGCATCAACATCCCCCTTCAGAACCCGTCTCTCTGGCGGGAGGCGTAGGCAGACTGAAAGCCATGAGATTTCAGGAAGGGCTTGATCTGCTCCTCCCACAGGATCACCTCCACCTTTGGCCAGGAGGGAAGTATGCCTCTTCCATAAATGTCAATGGTAGTTCGAGACTTCGGATTCGGATGTAGGATGCGACTCGCCAGCGTTTAGGGAAGCCTGGCCTCCTGCAAGACAATGATATCGGGTTTGCGCAGGCGCATCTCGTGCATGAGCTTTGGCAGTCGAAACGGCCATTGCGCAGATTTGTCCTTCTTCCTTATCTTCGCATAGCAGCATGTTGCCGTTGGTATCATGGATTGCCACCAAGCTTCCCCACATTGTTGTCCCACGAGGGGGCCAGGATGTTCCAGTTCAGTATGCGGATCTTGTGAGATACATCCTGAATGCGGACATCTACCCCAAGCCGCAGAACACACATGCTGGGGCAACAGCGCCGGGCATCCTCGTCACGTCCGATGGCAGTGGCTGCATGGACAAAGTGTCCTTAGAACAAGGCAGAGCACAGATGGTGGTTCGCGGAAAACCAAAAGCACAACCAGCAGCTGCCAACGTGATTAGGCTGTGTCGTGTTTGAGGTCGGCGTCGGATGGGTCCAAAGCCTCTCACAGAGGTGTTGTGGGACACGGCGGCGGCCAACAGCAGGTCGACGAACAAGACTGTTCGCATTCCTCAACAGCCATATGGCAAGGTCATCATGAGGTGGGGGGGGGGGGGGGGGNNGGGGGGGGGGGGGCTGACCTGTTGGCATAGTGCCAGAAAGCAAGCCCCTTACCATGCATCATGCCCTCCTACGCAAGGTACATCCCCTTCAGCACAGTTTCGTCGAGAACTTGTGGACGACGTCCAGCCAGGGCATCATTAGAACATGTTGCCATTGAAGGTTGATGTTTCTTCCGCATGGTACAGTGACTGAGTATGTTGTTGAGTTCCGATTTAGCTCATGGCCAGCGCTGGTTGGGCAGCTGTGGACACGACTGCTAGGTCATGAGCATGCAAGCTGGCAAGCTGCGCCAGGGTCAGGCACTTAAGATCGTCGCCTGCAGGCCGTTCTCACTCGGCATCTGAAGGCCCTTCCTAAAGGCGACTCGTTTTGCAGTCCGTCTCTTCCTTCGGAATGCGCAAACAAGCTCAGCAACGGCTGAGCTGAGNNAGTGCCGGAGTCACGCCGTATGTACATGACATCGCTCCAACTGGAGCATCTTGAAAACCTGGGTAAGGCCGAGCCGCCCCATTTAAGGAAAGAGAATTTCGAGCGCTTGCTGAAGCCATGTGAATGGGAGCAACATAAGTGACCTAAACCGTGCCTAGCCTCTCTGTGTTCTCTCCGCCAAGAGGGTGCTCGCAGAACAGCGCCGCTCAGTTCCCCACAGCTGACTTGAACCAGGTTCGATCCTGCACGGGGGTGCAGGGAACCGCGAAGCCCCTCAATTGGCCTCACCGGTGGATCCTAATTCCTTAACCCACGGAGAGCACCCTGTTGAACTCGTCTTCCACGCAGAGCTGCCACCCAGCTCACTCATCAAGCATGAGCCATTACGCTGTTGCAGCTATGATATGGGTAGTTTTCTAAATTAGGGTCCCTTTTTGGGGTCCCCAATATAGTACGGCACCCTTATAGAAGAGACCCCCAAAAAGGGAAGGCCTGCTCCGCACTCTCCTGCAGCACATCCATGCTCGTCTCTTTGAAAGGAAGCTCGAGCCAACAGTAACAGAGGACTTTCGAAAACTGCTGTTAGCGAATGGTGAAAACACTACCGATGATGCTTGAAAAAAGGTTTGGAATGGTCTATCAGCTGACCTTGGCGAGAGGTGCCTTGTCTCTTTTCGTTGTCGCAGAAAGCTGGCACTCCGCAGTTACCATCTCCGCGCTCATCCATCACCTGCGAGCTTCTGCAAGACTAATCTTGATTCTTTGTTGCAGTTTCAAACCCAAGCCGAAATCAGATACAGTCCTCTCGAGGAAATACAAAGACTGTAAGGAATCTTGTGTCATACACCTTCTTTAGCCCCGTACTACCAGGAATGCGCACGGCTCAGCAGCTCAGAGAGAGAGATTTCAAGAAATTCAGCACCTTTGAGGGTCTGAGGCTTGTCAAATCCACAGATCTCGCTCTTCCGCCACGCTCTCTAGACAGAGGCGAAGTTTCACACAAGAAACGAATAAGCGCACAGTAGCTGTGACTACAGCTTTTCAGGACATGACGGAGGAGCTGCATGAGCTGCGCATGCCCTGCCTTGTCTTCACGGAGATTTCCCGATTTCTTATCCGGCGAGTTATCCTCCAAGCCCAGCGCTAGCTCTCTTCGCCCTGTGGCCTTTGGCCCTTCAGCCCTGAAGCCTGGGAAAAAGGCAGCTGGCTAAGGTACCAGTGGGCTTTGGGGTTGGGCACGCACCCCAAACCCGAAAAACTATACCTAAACCCTAAACCCTGAAATCGTTCAAGAACGAGTCTGCGGGATGGCTCAAAACCTTGGGGAAGATGGACGGAAGAAACCTGCTCATGGGATCCCCCCTATACATGCCCCTTCTTCAGCACCCATAAGCTGCGGTTGAGCGTTCAGGGCTTAGGGTTTCAGAACTCCAAAAATAAAAGAAAAAACCCTACATCACCTTCATAAGGAAGGACATTTGTATTTCTGGGAGGTTCTTTTACAGTAGTAGGAAAAGAGCGACTGGTTTCGCCTAAAGGCAATGATTGCTTGTGACACATGTCCACTGCTTTTTCCGCTTTCTCTGGTCCACTGCATGTAAGTGCTGTCGGAGTCCGAAGACTCCGAAAACCTACAAATCAATGCTCCAAATGGAAAGCAGGCGAGTGCCCTTCGGCAAGGAGGCCACGAATTTCGCGGCAGCCGTCTCGTCCTGGCCAAGCGGGATGGTGATTTGCATATCGTTGCCGGACTCCCAGTCCTTTTGCTCCTCGGTGGGGTTAGGACGTCTGTAGGGCGGTATGACGACGAGCGAGGGGCGGACGAAGGAGAAGTTGATGGGACCTTCGCTGCCCATCTTGCCGCCGAAGCGGCCCTCATAGATGGGGCCATGGCGAACGGAGGTCGTGATCAAGGTGGGCCACGCGGGGGTGAAGAAGCCATGGACACGGCTCTCTGGCTTGCGACTGGCCTCGAAATCCAGTTGCTCCCGGAAGTATTCCACGCTGGCCCCACTTCGGGCCTCGTCGTGGAACTTCTGGGCACACTCCTTCAAGGTGACCGTCTCGGCCTCGACCTCGACGGCGTTGATGGAGGTTGCATCGCCAATGTGGTTGCGGCCAATGCCGGGATAGCGGCCGCGCATGTCTGCAGGGAAGAACATCGTGCTGTGCTTGCCGTCGTGGGTGACCTGGGGGCCGAAGATCTCGATCATCTTGTGCCACACGATCGCGTGCATGACATCGTTCTTCGACAACGCCCTGCCACTCTTTGTGACGGCGTGCTGCAGGTGTTTTTGCATTTGCTCCAGGACGGAATTGGGGAAGTTCACGCGAGCAGTGACCGTGGGGAAATCGGGCTTGGGAGCACCGAGGACGGCCTCAACGGGGATAAACATACGCTTGGCCAGCGGCGCGGGCAAGGGCTCCTGGGCTCGGCGCCCACGCAGCACAGTGACATCCATTGTATAGACGTTCTCCGAGCACTGGAGCCGGCCCTTGTCGCACAGGTTGCGGCAGGTGGTGGCCCACTCGCTGAAGGGAAGTACCGTACCGCCATCGCACAAGTGGTGCACGCCGGTAAAGTTGAGAACAACGTAGCTGCCAGCACCGGGGTTGGCCTCATCGTGGACCCAGGTGAGCTTCACGTAGAGGAGGCGGTAGCGGCCCTCGGTCGGGACCATCGACGAGCACCTCCTTGAGGGGCCAGTCTGAAAAGCTGCCGTTGATGACGGCCTCCTCTTATAGGGTTCTTAAGGGACGGGGGTTCAAAACAGGGGTAGGTACCTAGGGAACCTTAGGAACGTTGGGTTACATACCTCCCCCTTGAACCCCCCTCCCTTAAGAACCCTATAACACCTCGGTTGGGCAAAAGTCGCTGACTTCACCGAAGGTGAGCTCAGGCGGGTTGCTGCCGGGGCTGTGCAGCTCCAGGCGGTTGTGGTTGTCAGGGTTGCGCTCGAGGGTGTATGCGAAGATGGGGTACTTGTCACGGACGACGTGCTCGAGCGACAGCTGCAAGCTGGTTGCCATGTCGTTCCAGTCCTTCTGGGACTTGATATTCGGGGTTTTCCACATGAACAAGACGTTCACGTAGGTGTTGAAGGTCGCCTGGGATTGTATGAACTGAATGGTTATGATTCTCCCTTATGTTGTTATCGCTGCTTCTTCTCTATCTGTGGCACAGTCATATATTGGTTTCAGCTTCCCTAAACCCTTTTTTGAACCCAGACTCTGCCAATCAGCTGGGAAGCAGCACTAAACCCTAAACCCGGGAAGCCAATATCAGTACTTGCACGGGCCGGGCGAAGACGGGTCCGCTGGTCCACGGGAATGTGGCAGCTTGAAGGTTCGTTTAAGGGAGAGTCGCCATGGATCTACAGCGGCCCCTCTACGAAAAACTTTAGGGTTTAGGGTTTTGGGTTAAGTACTGTTCAGGTATGGCCACTTCTCTGAATTACTGTCCCTTTTGAGGTTACCATTATAAGGCGGCCCTAGTATTTCGGGTATTCAAAAAGGTACATAACCATACGCTGTCCGCAAGGCTTCGAGCAGCTCCTTTCGTGTCCCGAGCCGCCGAGGCCATGTAAGTGGAGTTCTAAGTCCCCTAATACAGGTTATAACTACAGTCCATAGTTACCCTACCTCTAACCCTACATATAACTACCCAATTTTACAAACCCCACCTGGCAGTTGTCGTCCAGGATGATGCGGTCGGGGAACTTGTGCTGCGAAACGAGCTCAGCGGTCAGCAAGTGCTGACTGAGGCGGAAGATTCGCTGCGAGGGTGTCGCCATGGTGCCCTTTTGCTCGGAGGAAGGGGGAGACTCGGCCCAGGCTGGTCCAACCAACCGGCGGAGTCGGCACAACTGACAGACGAAAGCTTTAACAGTAGCGGGACTTCCCCGGGCCCCAAACCCTAAACACATTGCCTTGGCCCGAGGCCGGCGCTGCTGACGGAGCTTCCGCCTCCGCGCAAGGAAAGGACGAAAGCCCCTAACCCTCTCGAACCATAAGACCCATAGGCACCATACAATCCAACAACTCCCAGAAGCCATAGATAGAAGACGGTTTCACAATCTCTACACAAATCAGACGCCAAACTCCTAAAGCTTACAACACTTAATGTGGAGGGTCCGCTGACAAGTTTTCTCCCTCCCCGCATTGCAGAGAACTATGCTGACGGGCGAGGTTCGATAGAGGCATCAGGAACTGCACAGTTTCAATAACACTCACACCAATCGCTGTTGCGACGACCAAGCAATATGCACTTCGCTCTCATGTCAAGGCAAAGGTACCCTACAAGATAAAACTACGCCGACAAGTTTAGGGTTTAGGGTTTAGGTTCTAGGGTTCAGGTTTTCTTGTTCAGGGCAGTTTGTTTAGGGTTTCGGGTCTTACATAATTAAGGCCAGCATCACTTCTCATGGGACCCAAAACCCAAAACCCAAAGCCCTATTTAATAAAAACAAACACACACACACACACAGACACACACACACACATACACCCACATACACACACATACACACACACCTCGGGCCCCCCGAACCCGCCACACACGAGTGTGATTGAGCCTCAAAGGGTTTAGGGCTTCAAGGTTTTTTTTCCCTCTCGCATGAATGAGGTCTATACTCACGGCGAGGTTCAATATGGGGGACTGAAAGTTGAAAGTCGAAAGTTGAAGATTGAAAGCTGAAGTCAAGCAAAGTGTAGATACAAGACCTCATGGAGCTCCTTCATTTCAGGAACTCCTCACTGCTCTGTCATTTTCAGGGTTTAGGGTTTAGGGTTTAGGGCTTAGCGTAGCGCAGCGGCAGCAGCAGCAGCAGCAGCAGCAGCAGCAGCAGCAGCGGTAGCAGCTGTTGCTGTTGTTGTTGTGGTATAGCGGTAGTAGTAGTCGTCGTGGTGGTGGTGTAGGTAGGGCACAGTCGAGTCCAGTAGAATCGAGTAGAGCATGATAGCATAGTAGAACTATGGCGCGCGATGCTACAAGTAGATTATCAGATGGGACATATTGTGCAACCAGGTACTACAGCACACGAAAGTCTTCTACACAGAATCCACTAATGCCGTGCACGGTTGCGTGCAAGCTGCTATTGAAGTTGAAGCCTTCACGCACAAGCGCTCTGCAAGAGTGGCAAATACCGGCAGCACCGGGAACACGAGATCTATTCCCTGTCGGCTCAAATCACTTGAAACGTCTCCAGATAAAAAGGCCCAAACGCCACGGCTTCTGTACAACCCAGGCTGAATGGCATGGAGCTATTCGGGCAGTCTTGGCCCGGCAATCGCAAAAGCTTTGCAGCTCGCGGTTTGGCTTAAGTGGCCTTGGCATGTTGCTTCAGATGTGCTGCAAACATCCAGGAAAGGAAGAAGAGGAACAAGTAGGTGCAGAGCTGGGAACTTGCGAAACTGATCGATGTCTGGATCGCACCTAGCTGCGCTCCAGCACCCCGGCCCAGCATCAGTGAAATCATGTTGATTGCTCCAGCTCGGTCCTTGAAGCGTGGTGCCACAATCTTCGGAGCCAGTGCATAGGCGTAGTTCTTCACAACTGAAGCGCAAGACTGGACGAGCAGCAAGCCAATGAACATGATGGTTATCGCTGCTGTCGGCCAGTCACGTGAGAAGGGAAATGTGATCAGGGAGCAACCTGCACCCAAGCAAGCGCTCAACTGCAAACCTTTCCTATCTTCCAGGAGCTTCACCAGTCTGCTACTGATGAGGGACAGCAGCGACACGACGGCCATGGTTCCTGCCAGCGCGAAAGCTGTCAGGGACACGCTCCAACCCCAGGTCTTCTCTGCCAACTTCACGAAGAAGACGATTGCCATCGTGTTGGTCATGGCGCTAGCAAAAGCTGCGAAGATGCAGACCAAGAAGCCGCGGTTCCAGAGACTCTCCTGGCTATCCGCTGTGTCTTGCTTCTCAGACTGCACGTCATCTTCTGGGTTCTCAAAGAAGAAAACCAGCTTGAGAAGGAAGAGGTAATAAAGGAAGGCCATGAACCAGCCTGGGATGGTGTCGGAGTCGAGGACCAGGTTCTCAATCCGCAGCTCCTTCACGAAGGTCTCCAGGAGCGCGGCCAGCAGCGGCGCAGCTGTGAAGGCCAGCGTGGCAGAGGTAGAGAAGATGAAGAGCGCCTTTGTCCTTCTTTTCACCCCGACGGCCTTTGCAATGTAGATGGGCCCTCCCAACTGGCACTGGCAAACTCCGATGATGATTCGTGCGGCGAGGATGGCGAACTTGGAGCGCATGAGGCCAGCAAGGGCGTAGAGTATGTTTCCCAGGATGCAACTAGCCACCATAACAATAAGGATGGTCTTCAGCGAAATCCCGGACCTCAGCATCCAGTAGTTCCTCAGCTCTTGAGACGCTGCGAAGGAAAGGAGTCGTCCGAAGAAGAATCACTCACAATAAGACTATAGTAGTACTATAAATCGCTATAATAATACTGTAATAATACGGCAATAATACTGTAATGGTACCAGGTGTAGAATTTAGGGATGTCTCATTGCGCAATTAATCGGCAGCTTAACTCCAACTCTGGTAGCCCAACACTATCCAATACGATATGAGACTATGCAATACCACATCCTACTACTGCTAAGTGACACTGCATTAACTAACTGTACGATGCCGCACTCTACGAAACTACACGATGCTGTACTACACTGTACTGTATTGTATGACTGTATAATGCAGCATAGTATATTATCATCAAGTTCTGTGTAGTACAATGCTGTATAGCATTATTTAGTAAAACAAAGTATAGTATAGTACAGGTAGGAAAAGAACACGTGGATTAAACACACGATGCTGTAGCTCTGATGGCTTAAGAGGCTGTTAACGCGTGAAGAACGGTGGAAACACAAATTGACGGGCATGTGTTGTCTTCAGATTTCCGTATTCTGCCATGGGGTTATTACTGACGTATGGGTCGTAGCAATGGCCCAGAACATGTTCCACACAAACTGGTTGGAAAGGGAGAGCCCATTTGTCGCCTCGATGCTCCAACCGGACCCTTGCCAACGTTACAGCATTCAGTGGGGTTGGGTTGGTAGCTGACCTGCCCGAAAAGCTCTTCAGAGGAAGGTCTTATAACATCTGACTTGCCTGAAACGATCTTCAGAGGAAGATCTTATAACATGACCCGCCAGCCTGCCACGCATTCCAGAACCAATTCGGAGCATAGCTTTAGCTCCATTTTACTCCCAGCGGGATTCTTGCTAATTTCGCACTGCCTCGCCAAGGTGATCTGCTTCCAGGCTGTATAAAAGCCGCTTCTCTGTTTTTGGTGCAACTAAGATTTAAGAGACGACTGCAGTATATATATATATATATTATAGCATACTATACCACTCCAGGTTTTTGAGGGCATTTTGAGTGAAGTGTGAACCCTATGAGCACGCCGAGGCTCAGCGGGATACCAACCAGCCCCTGGAAGAAGGGTGTCAGGGCAATGACCAGGCCACCTGGGCTTAGGGTTTAGGGTTTAGGGTTTAGGATTTGGGTTTGATGTGCTCTTTTTAGTGAACCCATGCCCTTGGACTTTCCTTTGGCGACTATTCTTAGCCGGGGCAGTTCCTCGGGTTGCAAGGCCAGAAGACAATCTTCTGATGTGTACACCCAACTACAACATTTGCCAATCTAGGGTTCAGGGTTTACGTGGGCAAGCATG